GAGTGCCACTCTGTTCCCTCTGCTTTGCTGCCTTGTGCAGCCCCGGGAGTAGCACCCCTCCCCCTGCCCCTTCCCTAGTCCCAGCCTCACTCCCTCCCTCACCGCCATGGGAACCTATCCCTATTTGTTACATTGAAAAGTGGGTTTTTATGCACCGTTCTCCAGGAACGCATGTACAGCATAAATCAAGGAAACCTGTATATCTGACTTTCACTTTACAATCTGTGGGCATACATGTATAAATTTGCTTTCTTAAACCATGCGATTTACTGCATCAAGCTCAATTTACCACCTTAACACAAAAGACTTATCTTGTGCCAGCAAGTTATAGGATTCATCTACCAATTTAGGAGTCCTTCAGTAGTATTTAGGTGAGCATTACCAGATTAACATTCTAATACCACTGTTTAAATAGCAACATTTAAATTACATTCTTTGCATTTATAAATCAAATAACAATGCAACTACATGTGCAGTAAAATGTCCATATGAGCCTTTACTGTAGTTATTTATTTAGGAACCTATAAAAACCTCACAAAAATCTTCCACTGAATTTAAACAGAACAAGAGAGTGTAGGATTTGGGCATAAATTGTAATGAGCATGGAGTAACCATTTGTTGCTTTAGAGAGACCAAATTTAATTTGAAATTAAGAATTAAATCCACATCCCCATGTGAGGGTGGCTGCTATCTGATCTCTGGTGAGTGAAACTCTAGAGGCTTTCAACTTCTCCCTCCCATGCACAGGAGCCAAAGGGGAGGGAGAGAGGAGTGGGCTACAAGAACAGCTGCTTCAAACAAGTGGAGGTAATTCATTTAGAAATATAGGAGACGTTCCCTAGGCATGAGCATGGGTGAGATACTCAAATGGAGAGGTAGTTTCTTTTGTGATATGCACTTACCTTACTTTCTTGTTATAAAGACTTGCTAAAGTTTTTATTTTTACTGGGTATGGACATTTTTCCTGCTGATTCAATCTAGCATTCACAGATAAACTTCTTAACAGAGTTGCAAGAAGGGCAAGAAAGAGGGACACGAGTCAACCTTTATTTTCCTCTTCCAATCTTGACAGAGGAGAGTCTGCTGTCAAATGCAGTGGGAGTGGGGTGTTCGAATGCACCATCCTACGCCCACAAAGCAATCCACAGCAACACAGCTCCCTTTCAAGCAAAAAGATTCTAAATCACGTGGGGTTTACTACTGACATGGATGGATATATTGTCTGGGTTGGCATTTTTTCATTATATTCTGATGACAACAAGTCATTAATTTACTAAGTTTCAACTTACCTAGCCGTTGAGAAAATTCATAGAATTTCTTTAGCTTGCCTACTAGTGGAACGACTGCACCCCATGCCTTCTCTTGCAATTTTTCATCACTGGGGTGCTGTATTGCCTTAAAAATCAAACACATGCAGAAAGAACAAGTTAGATTTAGCTTAGTAATATAAAATCAAGAACATAAAGCTTCCTTCTATTCACAACATGCATAAAGAGAGGCTTAAAAGAGCACTGAAACAACCTACCAAAAACAAAAGGGGACATTATTCTTCAAACAAGTAGGGTATAACATTTTCTCTAGACATTCAAGTTCCAGTGGGCATTCCATTACAGACAAAGTGTAAGCTGAAGTCTTTAATAAGATACTGTGCTTGGTCTGCACATTCTTCATCCAATGAAAATAATTCAGCATACTTTGTACACAACATTATATAGAATAAAAAGACCATTTCTATGAAGTTATTAATATACAAAGAATGCAATAATTAGCACAGTATGACATACTTACTATGCAAAATAAACTGCTTTGCTTAAGACACTTCCAAGGGAACCAGTTTAATTTAGCTGAGTGATCATGGATACTACCCAGACAACTGTAGAAATCTACCAGTTGGGGGGTAGATTGATTTATAATTGAAACAATAGAAATTTTCGTGAGCTGAAGAAGGCTCATGCAACCTCTATTCCCCTGGCGCAGGGACTGTAATGGTCTTTTACCAAGGTTGTCCTCCAAGTTAAAAAAAAGGTGCTGTGCATGATCATCTGCTTCAGCATGGTGGTGGGCTCAGTTTGTGTGGGGAAGGGCCACAATGGCTACATGATCAGACAGTTAACCCCATCCGGCAGTCCCTGGGGAACTCCCCGGTCTGCTTCACTAGAGCAAAAGGCAAGAATTAATCCTCTTCTCAGATTCGCTAGGAGCTCTGAAGCCTAAAGAGCCTGGTGTTCAAGGTGAGGCTTTCAGAGCCCTGGTTCCACTGCAGAGAAGTGGAAAGCTTTCAGTCCCCAGTTCTGAGGGAGTCCACGCAACAGCTCTCCGTTGCAGCTTTAAAACCGGGACAGCCCAGCAGGTGAGGGGGGCAAAAACCAATCGGCTGTCTGTTGAATTCTACCTGGGGTTCTCTGGATGAATCTCTTTGGATTCAAAAAGTGAGCATTTTGCAACAAAACAAAGCAATTTGTTTAAATCTGTGAACAGTTTCCATTCAATTAAAAATATTTGCATTGATGTGTATTGACATGGAATTTTAGGCCGAGGGCTATACAGTGAGGTTTGGGCAAAATTTTCTTTGGTACAGAAGAAGCTTTCTGTTTTGTTTTTTGTTTTGTTTTTTTGTAATGGGGTAATTTAGTGAATTTTGGTATTTTGGATCCTTTGGGCTCTTCTCTCTGTTATTTGATTTTTCTGTAGAATTTGTGTAATGACAACAGCAAGCCAATACCCCTTGTTGAATATGATTACAGGAAGAAAGTGACTAGCACCTCAGACAGTTGGGATTTACTGGCAAAAGTAATTGAATATTTTTTGCAAAGTATATTGAACTTCATAGTAATTTCTTTTCACCCCAAATTTCTAGGAAATACTAGAACATAATACAAGCCAATAGTCTTGATCTTTCTTTCCAAACGTAAGAAATTTTGGGCAAATTTAAATGGACGTTCGGTAAAAATGTCTGTTACTCTTAACCTCTGCTACCCAACCAAGTGTAACAACTTTACAGGATGCTGGAAGATCTTGGAACTTGACATTCTGAATCGCCAATCTATGGAATAGTCACCATGTAAAATATTTATCAGACCTTGGCATCAAGCCAACACGTTTTCCATTGTAGGAACTTTGAATTCCACCACATTTCTTTCACATAAGACTATTTAACCTGCTCTTTAATTTATGTCTTTACTAGTTCCACCGCAATATTTGCTGAACGTTGCTGTTTCTATCTGGATGACTGTATAGTTCATTTCTTGTTCATTGTTTTTCTGCGTGTCCTGCTGCACATTTTGGGGGAAAATGTCATTACTTCCGAATTTTTAACATTCATTAAAAAAATCTTAGCTAATTTCTAACAGAAGTAAATAGATACAAATAGTTGTGTTACTGCTGAAAGGACTTGTCAGCAACCTGGATGTTTTGCTCAGATCCGTCTCAAAGCCTTCAAAGTTTTATTTCTAGCCTGTTTTCACTGAAAAGAAATGGCAGCTGCTTTGGTTGGACGCACAGAGGAGGATCTTATAGTTTGTTTGGTTTTTTGGGGCTTTTAAATACCACCAATAGCTATTCCATTTACCTAACAGGACTGAGCAATTTCCACAGACTTTTAGGGTGCCTATTTACATGCTCCGTCCAACACATTCAGATTAGAAAGCATCAGCACCTGCTGGAGTTTTCTAATTAGAACGCTCCAGCATGCTGCAGTCTCATGTATTCAGCATCCTAAATTTCAAAGTGGCGGTAGCGGCGCTTTAACTAAAGTTCACCGAATGAGCTTTAGTTAAAGCCCCCCTGCCGCCATTTTGAAACACAGGGCACTGAATACACAATACGCTCCGGCATTTTAGTTTGAGCAACTCCTGCCCCAATTAAAAGTCCTCCAACCCCCATCCCAGAGTATGTGTATAGGCAGCCTTAGTGCCCTGTAGCAAGGCTAGCTCTGGGGAAGGGCTGTCGCATCAGCACGGCTAAAGATGACAGTGAGTGTTCATATTCATGAGGCATGCGCTGTCCTCACAGAAATAAGCCGAGTTTGGACCTCTGAGAATTTGGAGGATGGACTGCTTGCTCTAGACCTTTTTAAATGGAAGTAATAGACATTTGGAACAAGCAACTGTAGAAGAATCTTCTGTGTTCCAAGACCTATTTCTGAAAGATAAAGGCAATTAAAAAGTGTCATGAGGGCTTTCTCTCCGAACAAGCATCGCATTTCATCAGTTAGCAAGATAACTCTGCCAGCTATGGGTCGGAAAATGAAACACTTCTTTCTGGTTCACACTTTAATACATGAAGTTATGAACTTGCAATTTCTGCTTAGTACATAACCCATACCTAGGCTAACCAAAAAACCTAGTCCAATCTCCATAAGCTGTGCTGGCTTACAGCAATAAACAATGCTAAAAGTCTATTTTAGCTGAGGCAGCAAATGAGGAGCACCTTTAGCTCTCATTAAAACCCAAGAACTCAGAAGTGGGAATCCTGTTAAGATGATAACTTTAGAGGAAGCATCGTAGAATCATTGAAAATTAGTTGGAAAGAACCTCAGGAGGTCGCATCTAGTCCAACCACCTGCTCAAAGCAGGACCATCCCCAACTAGATCATCCCAGCCAGGGCTTTGTTGAGCCGGGCCTTAAAATCCTCCAAGGATGGAGAGTCCACCACCTCTCTAGGTAACCCATTCCATCCTTTTGTTTGTATGCAACATTTAATAAGAAAGCTACTAAATTATTTAAATGGAAACTTTTTTTTTTATATGATCCTACTCTGTTGTGTTTTAAAAGAATAACCATGTTAAGCTAACACAAACAATTCTTCCAACAGAAACTAAATCAAGAAAAGAGAAGCTAAAATTCAACATGTGAGTGTATCCCAACAGCACAAAAACAGTTGTTTGTAGATCAGAAAAGTATCAAATCATGTTTTACCTCTCGTATTTCGTGCCCAGCTCCTCTGTAGGACTGTAAGTCTTCCAGGATTCCTTCGGCATCCTTTAATACTACATTCACCTGATTGTAAATTTCCTTTTCAGATTCAGTAGGCTGGGCATCTAAACAGTAGGAGAGTAAATTAAGTAATTTTTAACTGCCTGAGGTTTTGATACAGCCTGATCCACAGGACTGAACTGGTATATAAAGATTATTTCATGTACTGCATAAAACTATTATCTCTGAGGAACTTCAGAGAACAGGATCATTGTATGGGTTTGGAACCTTACTTGTATGAAACCGCTAAATAAGTTACTAAGCACCATTATCCTCAAGCTATTTCTTTTAAAGTTCATTGAAAAGTACTCTTTAATTATATTTTTGTCATGCACATACTACAACTTATTCTCACTTTTAGAGTGCACTAGAAGCTCCATGGAGGAGCTGCAGGTGAGTTATGAAAAAAGACACTGATTGTAGGATAAACTCATAGCTTTATACGAGCTACTTATTTTTTTCAGCATTCAAACGTTCCATATATACCAGCAAATTTTATTTTAAGCTTTTGACAGTAGAAATTATTTGTTCTCACCGTTGTACAGAATACATTCTCAGGATTAACTTTATTAAAAAGAAAAAAAAATAAACATCAAGCAAAGGCTGAAAAAGCTTTAACATATATAGCTCAATAATGGATGCAATAATTTTACAAATGCATTAGCAGTCTTTCTGATAGTTTAACTGTAACTGGCAATAAACATTCTCTCTTCAGAAAAATGATCTGTACTTTACATCATTCAAAAAAGCTACATTTACTTTAAAGAAATTATTTGTGAAAATATCTGCTTTCAGATATGTCGTCAAGTCTGTGATCTAGCAAGGATCTTTAAAACATTTTATTTCGTAATTTATTTACTTTGGATGTGATTAGCTTGCTGGGTTTTTTAATGCTCTCTCACACAAAGGTTGCCTTTTTGGTATTTCTAGCTGAAGTGGGTTCCTAGCTAGAGTGGGTGGTGTGAAAGATTAGCCTACTTAGGACAAGAAAAAAAGGAATCACTACTTCAAACTGCAACTTTCTAGTGACACTATTTTAGCTATTTAACTACATTAGTTAGGGAACAGGCATGCACTCCGAACTAACTAACCTAAAATCAGAGTACAAAAAACCCCAGGGCATAATATCAGCAAAAAATAAAATAAAAATCATGCTGTGTTTGGCTTGTTCTGGTCATACCTGATGAAGAATGTCTTATATTCAAAAGTTTGTCTAACTCTATCCCAACTATACAGTTGGTCCAATAAAAGATTTCCTAACATATCTTTGCCTCAAATAAAAATTAGCTAATTTTTAACAAGCATTATTGTTGTTTACAACTAACGATTGGAGTTCGTGTATTAGATGCAGTTACTATTTAAGAAACTGCTTACTATAAATTGACAAAAAAAAAAAAAACACATTCAAGACCAACTAGAATAAATGGTCTTGTCTCAATGACGTGCATATAACTTCCATTAACATGGATGGATGCTGGGCATACCCAGGAAGTGGAACATAAACTCTTAATATTCAACATTTTGCAAAAACACAAAAAATAAAACAAAAAATCATTTTAAAGTATGGCTTGCAACAAGACAAAAAGTTACACATACATTGTTTATCTGGCTTTGAGATACTCAGTTGGGTTGAATGACAAAACTGAACATCCATGTTAAATGCATAGAGACTGGTCATGATCATAAAGTACATCAATGTAGACCTTGCAACAGCATAACAGTTAATGTTTTGACAACCAGTAAGAAGTGTCTGAATGCAAGGAAGCTTGTGACTCCTTTCCTTTTTTAAAAAAAGGAGCAAAAAAAGGACAACACTGATTAGGCATAGACTAAAAAGAAAATGTCCAGCAGTTTTGAAACTGTCACAGGAAAGTCACATGTATAATTTTGAAAGCTGCTGAAGACTGCTGTAAGAAATGAAGACAAAAAAAAATAATGGGAAAATAGCAGACAGATAAGCACTAGTTTACTAGTAGCAGTTCATGCACAAACATGAAATGCTATAGTGCAGTACAGACTAATATGAAGTTCCACGGCATTCCAGAGTATTTGCATTGTTAATTAATGCAATCAAGACTTGCCACTTTACTTCTTCTATTGAAAAGGTCTCTTGTCACCTTAACATTCTTTCATTATCCTCTCTTCATTTACCCTTCTGAACAAAAGGCATTTCTTTTAGACACTGACAGAGTAGTAGAAGGTTTGTAAAAACAGTCAGTGTCAGTAATTCAACACAGCATGGGTATGCTGAACTGACGGGTGACTGCAGTAAATTATGCTAGTCACTTCTGAAGCATCCTACTTGAACGCTCAGTTGTGAAAAATCAACTCACTCAAAACTCACTGGGTCTCAGCTATCACTATGGACAACAGCCTCCTTGTTCTATTCATCTAAAACGTGTTTTAGTAATAAGCATTAAAAATAATGCTATCCATTATATTTTCAGTTTAAAAATGCATGCAACAATTATTCCAAATTTAGAAACGAGTTAATACTGAACAAACATATGAGATTGTGGGTGTTTACAAAATTTTACTAGGGAGCACAAAATCCCCTTGGGGCAGTTATATTACTATCTTATACATAATGCAGATTTGACATAAGTAGCTTCCCACTTCACCTTCCATCCCTACAAATTCGATCTGGTACGTACAATACATTTCCTTATTCTAACTTTATTTGTATGGTTTCCCTTTTCCTTGCTTCAGATCATCACCTTGTCTTTAGACTTTTCTTTTGTTGCATGCTTCCTTCTTGCTTGGGCATCTGATAATTACAGACCTTTTTAAAAGGAATTATTTTGAATGAGAACGCACTAGACGCCTACCCTCCTGGCTCACTAAGCTTATTCTTGTGCAGCTTGCCCTCCTCTCCTTTTGCAAATGCAAACAGAGTCCCTTTACAGATAGCAAACTGGCTCTCTATAATCAAGTGCAGCATTCCTCCTTGGCCAAACAAAGTGTTGTGCAGTGCTAAACATACTGTATGTGATGATTCTGTTTAGGAGCGCTTCGTGCTTAGTGTTGCAAGTTGAATTTTCCAAAATGTTAAGAGTTGCAACCAAAGTTCTCTGGATTTTTTGTTTTTTGCTCTCTCCAAGGACACTGATTTGTTGAAGAGTCATGCTAGACATTTTGGAGGATTACATTGGGCTAAGAAGTGCAGTTTGAGTTTCCTCTATTACCATATTGCAGTTAGTGCTGCTATATAACTTCAAAAATCAGCACACCAAACTGTTTCTATTCCTTTTGGTTGTGTTATCAGTTTCAGTGCACGTAAAGAAATACAAGGCAGCTATTTATTCTTAAACATATGAGGAGCATCAAGACAATGGCATGTGTAATACTATCAATATAGTTGCTGACAATATTCAAAGGAAAGTCAATAGCTCTGAAAGTCAGAACCTGACACTATCTAAAGGAAACTCAACAGCCCATCATATTATATTTTATGGATGTTTTTTCATTGCAAATATTCTGACAATCAGCTAAAAACTGCATAACTAAAGTCTAGCATCAAATAAAATTGTATCTTGAGAGACATGGAAAGTGGAATTCAACAGAAATGAACACAGCATCTGTATCCTCAGAACCTCATAAAAGTTAGTATGCAGCCTACTGCATTCTCTCGTAACTGAGATTTAACAAATAACCTTATGAGGTCTTTGTGAAACAGACTTCAAGTATACAGATCAATGACCCAAATCAGTATTTTAATAGCCTTGGGCCAAAACCACACTACATCTAACAAATTTGTTTTTAAACAGTTTCTTCACTTGCCCACATAAACATGACACTAAGGTTATCAAAAGATCAAGTGCCAAGTCTTGAAGAATAAGATCTTGACTGTATCAAAGCCAAGATTCTGTCAGTGCAAGCCACCTGAAACAGAAGAAAGAAGCTTGGATACACAGTAGAGCAGCAGAAACAAATGCAAGCCAAAGTTGAAAACAAATGAGGAACACAGTCTAAAATTCAGCCATAAGGTGAGCTGCTTCATTTCAGTGCATAGTGTAAACCTATCATGTCAGCAACCTACTAATTTATCCCCATGCCAGTGACCATCATTCATGCTAAAGAACATGCACACTGAAACAGAACTGATCATTCAAGTATAAAAAAATTAAGTATTTGACAAAATGCTACTAAAGAGTGAGTGAGTGAGTGAGTGAGTGAGTGAGTGAAAGTAAAACACAATACAAACTATAGCACTGTTACTCAAACATTTTGGTATACAACAAACTTTATCCTATGGTTAAGGCACAGTCATTCTAAAGAAAAAATATTTTTAATGTCACAGAATTAAAACAGCTACCTTTTATAAATAATTTGTTTACTATGTCAACATGTTAAGTAACAAAATATATTTGGGAAAGTTAATTATAAATTTCATGAATAAATGAAAGAAATTTAGAACTTATTTTACTATTTTAATGATGCAATTATAAAGTAGTCTTTCCCACATTAGAATCAATACAGCTAAACTGACCATTTTGCCAAAACAAAAGTGAAAAAATTGGAGGGGGGTGGGGGGAAGGAGAGAGAGAAAACAGTGCATTTTGGGTTCTCTGTTTCAAATTGTTCTCACATTTTCCTTAGACCCAATTCATTAGGTTTTACAAATATGGCAAAAACTACTTAGCTAGCATTATGCAATATCACAGCCAAAAGCAGAGTTAAACATGCATACCAGCAGCCAGGGACACTTACCTGCCACGTGTCATGCAACATAAAACAAGCAAAAAGCCAAAGTACTCAAAAGGCATGTGAACCTTTCAGAACATTTGGGACCATCAACCCTCTCCCCACTCCTGGAAAACAGAGTTCTGCATTTTTGAGAGCATGTAAGGATGGCAAAAGAGGTCAGGACAGGAGGGGTGAATTTTAGGAAAAATTTCCGTGCCCAGTCAAAAGGTTCACATATACCTTTAAACACGGTACTGTTCAAGAGCTATGAATGGCTTTTGTGAAGTGACTAGTGTGGAGTGCACCCCAATAACCGACTCAGTGAACACTGGCAGGGTCTGCAAGAGGAGATTAACAGTAAGGCTTAGTTCTTGCTTGAGGACCTGCAATCTGTATGCAAATTTTATTTATACAAATTTTAGCAAGTCATTCTATAATGTAAACTGTCTGAAAGGATTATTTACCACTGTTTGTTTGCTTTTAAAAAGGGATCGCTATATATGCAAGTCCATGGGCTTTGTAAGGCATGAAAGTCTCAAATTCAGGCACAACATAAATGGACAGAGGTTTTGTTTAAAATTTATTAAAAGCATATCAAATTCCTACAGGCAACATAGCATCAAAAGCCTTTATATCCCAATATATTACAGGTAATCTTGTCTTTTATGAAGTAGTCATTTATTTTTCTGTTAAAGACACATCCAGCAGTTCACTGAACCATTCATAGCTCGGTCATGCATAGCAGTTAGAAGGATGGCAAAGTGGAGACATACGTTTAGTACATGACAAATGCAGTCTACTACAGGCAAAGAGAAAAAGATATATATAAAAATCATCTTCTCACTTTCAAAATCAAGGAAAAAATTTGGCCCCTGTTCAAGGTCTGTGCATGTCAAAACTTTAAGAAGGTTCCCCATGTTAAGGTACCTGTCGAGACAAGAATGAGAGAAAAGAGAATATCCCTTTATAAGAAGGAACAGCCCAAATACACTAAAATGAAGGTGCTGGTGGGGGGAAAAACCAAACAGTTCCATCAGGCATGAACCCATATCCTTCAGGCTCCCGCTATGCTGTGGGATGGTAGAGGCTGACCCCCACCTCCAAGATGAACAACTGGTGATCCTAGAGATGCAGTGTAGTTTTCCTGTAACAAGTGACAGACAGATGTCACCAACATCTTCGTAGTGTCTCCTTTGAAAAAGAGGCAGAGCTCCAAATGACAGCTTTGTAAGTGAATAATTCTGTCCCACTATGCCAGTAGCACCAGTGTCCTATGCAGCTGTTTCCCTCCAAGGCTAATGTATCTTACTTGAAACATGGCTATGTCGTCAATGTTTATGCAGATTTGTATTTGGAGATGCAGTGCAATGAAGAAGAGAGCTTTATTTATTTATTTTTTTCCACAATTTTGTTAAAAAGTTTTAGAGAAAGATGTGCCTGGACATTATTCCCTATCTCATTCTCATCTGTATGTACAACCACCATGAGTATAGACAGGATGCCTGCTAATTAACAGGTGTGAACCTCAAATTCGCTTTTATTCATAACTTTATGATTCTGGTATAATACAAATATCACTTGTGCTGCAAATGAAAAGGTCAAGTAGGGATTTAATTGCTCACTCGTGCAGGGTAGTTGTAAGTTGAACAACTGCTAGGCACAGTTCACTAAGGCACACTGACAGAATTTTTCATTGTATGGCTACTTGATTTGCAGGCAGATGAAAGGACATCACTGACCACAGAGACCCAAAATGATTAAGCATATGAAAAAAAAATTTAAAAAGCTACATGGTAGCATGATGGTGGCTCAGCTATTATAGGGAAAAAAACCAAACAAACCATGCAACCTTTTTCAAATTGTCATTTTGAAACCAAGAGTGCCCCTTGTCTTCACTGTGGTGGTAGGTCTAAGCTATCCTAGTATTACCATTTTTGAATGCACCAACTGTGAAGGGCTGAAAAACTTACTTTCAAAATCCAAGAAAAAATGTGCTGCATTGTGGTCTATGTCCCTGGTTAGCACCTTAATGAGATTACCCATGCCAGCAAACCTAAAAATAAAAATGGCAAAATAATTTAGTTCCAATAATGGATTTTCTTTTGTAAGCAGAGGCCTGGCGTTCAGTTAGAGCTGGCTCCTTGAGGTTTCACAAGTGCAAGTTCACCAACATTAACTTTGTACCTGTGTTGTTCCACCTTTCCTTTCCTTTGCAGAAAGTAGTAGCTTATGGGCGTGGAAAAAAGGGGAAAGGTATACACATAAAAGCTAAGTTCCCTTCCTATGGAAAATACTCGTATCCAGTTACGAAAGCAGAACGAATAATTCTAGTATCAGGGCTGTTCAATGTTGATCTGTGTGTTACTCTGTAGTAACTGCAGTGTTAAAAGGGCAAAATATCAGTTATGGGACAGTGGCAGTTGTATCAGACTCGCTTCTACCAGATTTCAGTCAGCCTCCAAAATCCACAATGAATGAATGCAATATTGGCTAGTAATTCAGGAGGGGGCATCTACGGCCAACCAACAATTTTTCAGCAGGAGTCATCTACGGCCAACCAACATTTTTTCCCCACCAAACTGGACATGAAATTGAAAAACCACATACAAGTTAACATCCTTCCCTCCACCTTCCCCTCCCCACCCCCAACCCAACAGGAGTTAATCATGTTTAGAAATATCTTCTTACACTTTTCTGCCACATCCTGACTAAAAGAAATGGAAAGTGGGAGAAAGATTGAAAGCATTAATTAGAATTATCTAGTTGAAACACAAATTGACATGACAAGGTTTCAAGCATCATCACATTTTAGATGTTCAATG